TATATATATATATATATATATATATATATATATATATATATATATATATATATATATAACTTAATAGGAAAATTATACATAATTGAAAAATTATACAATCATCTTACATAATATGGAAGGACAAATATCTGGTTGGTAATTTATTTACTAACTTCATAAATGTTTCTGATTAAAGAGGGTTTTTTGTTGTTTTGTTGTTGTTTTTTTTTTTTTTTTTTGTAGGTCAAGCTGGCAAATCTCTTTAAATACATCGCGTCTCCAACGTTATCAGCGTATGTCGTCATGGATGACTGCTCGATAATGAATTCATAATCCTCAAATTTACGTTTTCCTCTATTCTTGAAATAACAATGTTAGATAGTTTCACATTTTAAAAATCATGAAAATTTAAATTCCAAATCGATTTCAATTGTTGTTTTTTTATTTTTATTTATTTTTCGAAATTATTTGCTTAAGTTTGAAACAGCACTATTTCGTATAGTTAATTTGGCTGAATGCGGTGTTAGGCATTGTTTACCTGGGGACTATATTTCGAGGTTAGCAGACGAAAAACCGTTGAAAACGGCCAAGGGCCAGCCATTCTGTTGTAATTCCTAAAAATGGTTTGTATAATACTTACTTTAATTACTGTTTAAATCTGTTATGGGCATATAATTTGATATTAACTTAAAAAATCATTCAGTTTATAATCAAAATAATTTCCAAATCATATGCGACAAATAAAGTTAAATTGTGTCCCCCAAAATGGCAACAGAATTATTATAACCACGCCGCCCCACGCCTCTCCAAGTTTAATTTCATTACAAACATCAATTACAATGGTCTAATTAATTTGTTGTATAACCTGTTTACAGGCTTACATCTTGAGAAGTATCTTCCTTTAATTATCATTAAAAGATTTCATTTTTATTTGTTTATAAGTGTACAGTACTGAATCAGGATGTGGATGGTCACAGTGAATTTGAATATTTTGCCTTAAAAATATTTCCAATCTAGTTCTAGCATTATAATAAAAATAGGCCTACCATTCGATTAGTCCTAAATCTTACAATAATGTAAGTGTACAGGTTTCAATGTAACATTTTGTAGATAAAAAAGATTTTTCTTTAATATAAATCTTAAACACATTTTTGTTAATATTGTTCAATTTAAATTTTAAATTATTATTCATGAGAAAAATAAAAAATGTGCCAACTTTAACTTACATTCAAATTCAAGTTTTCAATTTTTCAAAACATATAGTTACTGTTTCACACTTATTATAATTTATGTAATGTAATCACTTCTACACCCAATTAGAAATCACTCAAAAAAAATTAATTTATACAAATCAACAATTGAATAAGTATAATTATAATCTCCAACTTATTTACAGTTTCAGTTATGACAGTATGTTTGCTTTTGGTAACATAATTAATTACATAATCACTAGTTGGCTATCCTCCAAAAGCTGGTCCCAAAATCAAAACACTAGTAAAACACATCAAATTCATTGGCAGTTCAATATTTTTTACCAAGTACATATAGTTTACATTTTTAAATGTGATAATTGTCACACAAGTAGTTAAAAATGTTTTACCAAGAGCTTGGTCAAATTTGATGATTGTCACACAACAACTTCAAATTCTGTCTGAAAATGGCTTGATCCACTTTGCTAAACATGAGGAATTGTTGAACGTGTTAGTGTTATGGTCGATGTTGGTTGGAAATCGGGGCTCACAGTAAGCTTGGCAGTCTGTGTGTCAAAACACCAGTTGACATAAAAAGGCTAACCAAAGCTGAAGTTAGATACTAATACAACTTTGTGTAATACCAAAAATGCTGTAATATTCTAGAAAAAACAACACACATTTGTTATGCCATTGAAAAGCATTTTAAAGGCCCTAATTAGTTTTTTTATTTTTTTATTTTAAACCTTCATCGTTTTTTATCATGTTTAATTTAGGCATCACTTTTTTTATTGTACTGATCTTTTAAGGTGTAAAAAAAAATGACAAAAACTTATTAAAATGAATTAAAAATATATCTTAAGTTAATAAAAGAAAATTTGTGTCGATTTAGAAAGCTCACTATTTAGTAAAGAGTTTTGTTAAATATTTTAAAAATGAAACTGATTAGATAACTGTTACCAAATGGTTATGTAATCAGTGAAGGAGTGAGATTATTTCATGAAATCAATATTTTTATGGGTACCCCAAAATTTTATTTTCAGACCTTTTAGTGATTTGATGATCTAGCTAAGCATGTCACGATTTCCTGTAAGTTTACTTGGATATCTATCAATGAAATTTAAAGCCATTAAAATTAGTTTGGTTTCCATTTTTAATTTAAATTAAAGACACCATTTCCAAACATTTTAAAACAGTTCAATGTATTATAAATATAGAGTAAAGCAAATAAGCTTATTTTGCTAAATGCTGTTATTTAAGAAACAAGAGTACATTTAGATTTTGAGCAGCAATTGATTAGTAGCACTTCAGTAATGAGTTAATGAATAATTCATTTTTTACAGAACCATACTTAATTCTGGAATGCTTAACTGAAAAAATTATGTTTCTTACACAGTTAGAGTGTATTATTTAAGTACAGTTTTAAAAGTATCTTCTTAATTTTTTTCTCTTCAGAAATGGCTCCTATTGAAGGAGTGTTTATCTTACCAAGATGTTGTTAAATTGCTTGAAAATACACCATCCACTTTAGAATATGCGCTATCTCAGGACCTCAGTGAAGAGATTCGTAATATATATAAATTTGTCTGTACATTTTGTCCTGAATCCTGCAATAAAGAATTTAAAGAATATAGGCTGGAAGAAATTGCTAGACAAAAAATGCGTACACATTTGAAAGATCATATTAACTCTTTAAAAGCAGGTTTTTCTAAAGGTAAGAGAACAAACCAAAAGAAATCATTTTTATTATGGTTTATTACTAAATTTATGGGAATTTAATATTGCCTACTAAAGATTAAGATACTGATGTTGTCATAATCCTCTTTATCTTATCATATTCGGTCAAAATAATATTTTTTACTTCCATTATGGTGTTTGGATAAAAGAAACATTTCTGTTGTTTAATAAATCGTTTGACTTATGTATTTTAAAATGTTATTATTTTAGATGACAACAAAGATTTTAGAACAAGAAATCAATTATTTAAAGGATCAAAGAGTGGTAAGCTTTTGTTTTTGTTGTTTTGTCTTTGATTTAAAATAAGAAACAGTAACATTGATGAATATATGATTATCAGTTTATAGCATTAAACAGCTTATTTGCTTCTACTTCTACATCTTTGATATAGATTTTTCATCTTTTTTTATTATAAGTATTATTGTTTTATCTTTTTTATATATTTTAAACATTTATTTGAAGATTTTAGTGTGTAGGGGTAGTTATATATTTCTATTCTATTATTTGGTAATATGAAAGAAAATTGATTGTCTGGCTTGCAGGACTTAATTTGAAAAATTTTGTATAGCGGCTTGCCAAAAACCCACTCCAAACACCAACCTTATCTGGCATATATATGAACTTCCTAAAATGATTGAGTTGGTTTAATAACTACCTTATTTACTTACTTACTTATGCCTTTTTACCCTGTCTGGGGCATAGGCCATCCACAAGAAATTTCCATTCGTCACTGTCCTGTGCTTTCCTTTCCAGTCGCTTCCTGGAATAACCACCTTAACCCCTCCCTATCCAGATAATTATTGGTTTCCCTTTAATGAGCTTTCATCAGAGTTATCTGGCTGTGAAACTAAGGACATAACAAGTCAGCTTTTAAATGTTAATCTAGCTCCCTATGATGCCTTCCTTAATTAATCACCAGTAAAGTCTGCTCCTCAGATCCCTTAGCAGTAGCTTTAATATAATATGTCAATAATATTATGCTTTCTCTGTTTAAGCAACTCAAAAGCACAAGTCAACTGTACCCATTAACAAAGGAGTACCAAGTAAGAAATCAAAAATATTAAAGAAAAATGACTTACCAGATGTTAAAAGCAAAATCAAACTTCCAAAAGTACAAAATCAAAGATACACAAAGTTGAAGGAGTCTTCAAGTGAGAAAATATTACCTGAAAAGCATGAAGATATCCTTCATTTAAAAAGAGAAAATAGTGCTTTGCCCTCAGAAATTGTAAATTGCAGTGAAGAGATTGAAGACCAAATAGCTATTCAAGAGTTATGTGAATCAAGTTCAATTCATGATGAATACTCATCTGAATTCAAAGCTGATACAGATGCTTCAGAAGACAATGATTTCAGTGACAAAAAAAATTATGAAATGCAAACAATCCATGGTGGCAAAGAGTAAGTATCTTTTGTGTATTTTTATGTATCAGGACCAATTCCTTCATAGTTTTAATAACTTTACCAAAATGTGATTCGAAATTTTACATATTAAAATAAAAGTGTGTCATGAAAAATCTTTTGCAGTTGCATGTTAATTAAACTAACTGGTAATAGATAAGATTTTTATGCAGGACAGATATAAATCATTTTTCCTAGTGCTAACTGATTTAATATCTATTTATTGATAACTTTTACGGTCAAAAGAATGGCTCCTATTATCTTTTGTTACATTTTTATTAAATTAAACACATAAATTATCAGTTTCATTGAATCCAAATTGTTTTACAATAAATTTCAGACAGGAGACTTTTCAGTATAAAGTGGCTACAAAACTGTTTTCTGCAGATCGTTCATTGTGGAATTCTATAGAGCAGGCAAAAAAATATTCTTACCTTTTTATAAATACAATATTAAATAATATGCATTATTTTTTTACTCAGGAAGCTAATGTAAATAATGAAAGTACTCAAAAGATTATAGTAGTCCTACACTTTGATTAAATAAACTCATCCACATAACAAGTGGTTTATATTTGTAATGTTTATTATTTAAATATATAGTTTAGATGAATACTAACACATTGAAATACATTATCATTTTAATCTTAATTAGTATTGGTAATTTGTAAAATTATCTTTATATATATGGTTTATGGTGTTTTATTCAGGTGCTTGATGAAATTGTTCGAACAGAAGAACCATCAGAAATATTGTTACAGCCAGATAAAGAAAAAATACTTAGTAAGCAATGTGCTAGAAAAGACAAACTGTTAAATATGCATTGGTATATTGTTAGCAATAATTTTTACATGAGTTGAAAACCAGTTTTAATTACTTAATAACAGTAAACAGTATTTCACTGAATTAAAATGCACTTATAAGAGAATTGGCAGGGTTCCTATTAATCAGCCTAAGCTAATCTGCCAATTGAAGAGTAATTGATTGATTTTTGAGATTCATTCTTTATGCAAAATGTTAAATAAGTAGTTCCGAAAATTATTTCAGTGTGATCAGTGGCAGTTCCAAATAAGAAAATTACATAAACACAAAAATAAAAGAGTGGAAATAAAAATTTATTGAAACAACTTCTTGTCTTTAAATCATCATTTAAAATGTAAGGAGAATGTGCCATGACCTTGATAAATTATCGCGGTATGCCACCTGTAGGTCGTTTCTATAAAAATGTTTTGAACCTGTCCGCTACATTTGATATCAAAGAATATTTATATTTTTGGTATCTTACAACTTGTCATATCTTTTTTGGATAAAGATTGCTATTTGGGTTTTCTATTTTATCCACTGATTCATGTTAAACTTGACTTAAACCTTTGTTTGAATTTATAAAATTTGCAGTTGGTATGAAGCAATGGATAGACAGTGTCCAAATTTATGAACGCCAGACAGTATCTAGAATGCAAGATCCTTTGACTCCAGCTGAAAAAAATATTTTAGATAGCTTAACTAATGAAGACTGGAAAAAGCTTGAGGCGTCACAAGATTCTGAATCTAAGTTACGTTTGACAGTAAGTTAAACTAGCAAATTATTATGTTGCACTCTGATGTCTTGAATTTTTAAAAAAAAATTAACTTTAATTCATTGAAATTTTACCTGTCAAGATAAACCAGATACTGGCATTTATTTTCTTAGCAATAATGCTATTTTTATTGGTAAACCCCAGCATTTTAAATTATCAGTGGAACACTCTGTGTTTGGTTTATATAACTATTTATATACAGTCGAACCCTGTTATGTCGTCATTTTTGAAGTGGCATCGCCAAATTCTCTCTTTGTCTTAGCATTTTCTCCTCAGTTATGTCGATTCTTTTATGTCGCCGAACCCTGATATCTCTAGCACAAAAGGCGGCCAAATTTGCCACTTAACCTGGGTTATCTCGATCCCCATGACCAATCGCCAGCTTTTGAACTCCCCAAGAAGAAATAGCAAACAACAAATAATTAAAAATAATTATTTATTTCTCAAAATACAGGACATCTGTTTTAGAATGAACCTAGAAGTAATTTAAATAATTATGTTTTAATTCAAGGTTTAAAAACCCTGTAGAGTCCATATTATAAATGATCATAATTTGCCATGTGCGGGCATTCAGGGTCACTTGCATAATGGCTATGCCGTGGTACTATGTCAGAGTTTCATTAATAAGAGTTTGCTGTGTGCAAAAGCTATTAAACCATTGGTCAAGGAAAGCTTTAATTAAATAGTCATGTGCCAAAGTTGAAATTCCTTCAGGGCCTTATACTTATATACATCCTCACAACAGATTGTATTTGTCAATGGAAGTAGTGCCAATCCATGTTTAAATCCATGTTTCATGTCAAATCTAAACCAAACAAAACTATGTCAGATAATTCACATTATTTATCCAATGCAAGACAAACACCAGTAGCATTTTCAAATCATGAAGCAACTAATCCAATATATCCTCAGACATACTTTCAACACTTCTAGCAACATTATTGATAGAAATCTGAAGATTAGATATTAATTTATTTTGTTTCTTCTTTGTTTTTAAATTCAGCTAATAATGAATCTGCGCATTCTTGAAAACAAATTTTAACAGTTTCGCCATCTGAAATTGCTTTTTGCTTCTTAGCTAATATTAAAAGATGTTATCAGTACCACAGTCGCTTAAGTTCAAAATCCGACAAAAAATATTTTGCCTGCAATTCAGATACTTTTTTAAACTTTTAAAGAAATAACTTTGTTGTCTCTTAACTTTTCAGTTGGATACTCTTTCTCAAAATCTTTATGCACTGACTTGTGGTGTCTCTGCAGATTGGCCTTTTTCATAACAGAAATAGAAGTCTGGCATATCAAACACACTGGATTCTCATTAAACAATGAAAACAAAAATTCAAGTTCCCATGAAATGTTATTAGTACGGTTCTCTTCTGTAACTTTCCGTTTTTTACTTGCCATTTTGGCTTTATCGTTTTAGAAATAAAAATGATTTCAAAAATTGTTTGCACTGTCTCTCAGAATTTCTACAAACACCGCTTTTATCCTGCTTTCTACTTAAGAATTGATCATGCTCCGATTATAGAATACCAGGTACTAGTCTGATTTCATCTAAAAAATACAGGATGGACATACTGCCCAAACTGGACGGACTGATTATTACATTTCAACTGGTTCACATTCCCCTCCAGTCATTTGCTACACCTTTAGTATCCCAGATCTCATTTTGTCAACTCCTGTCTTATTATTATCATCCCATAAATCCCAGTCCTTTTATCATGTGGCGCTCACATATCTAGTTCATCTAAACCAGTCCTGTTGGTGTGCATGGACATTTTATGATGACCAGCTAACTAAGCATCAAGTTCCTCATCCTCATGTCCCTTAGTCCTTGGACCGTTGGGGCGCCACAGATGACATGTGAACCATCCTCCTCCATTCCTCTCTGTCTTCAGCACTACGCACTGCATCGCCCAGTGTTAGTCCTGTACACTCTTTGATGTTATCCTCCCATCTTTTTCTTTGTCTTCCTCTTCTTCTCCCTCCTCTTGTGGTGCCCTGCAATATTTCTTTGGCAAGCCCTTGTTTCCTTGTTACGTGGCCGTACCATTGTAGTTTGCGTTTTTTCACAGTCACCAGTAGGTCATCCTACTCCCCAATTGCCTGACGCACCCTTTCTTTCACTGTATCTTTGGAGATATGGTCCCTATAGCAGATGCCAAAAATGCTTCTAAAGTTAAAAGTTTTCAGATTCATCTCTCGGTTAGTAACGCTGTTAGTAATTTTACAACCCACCCCTCTTTTTAGGCCGGTCGAAGTAGCAGAAAATAACAGAAGGTAGTATCTGATTTCATGTCACCCCACATTCCGACATCCTTGATCTGTTGATGTGCTTAACATAAATTACTGTTACCTGTCAAGCATCTCTCTCCTTTTGCCACACCCCTTCTTTTTTCGAATGCCACCACTTCTCCTTTACTCCATGCAATTTCCCCAAAATACTGAATCACTGTTTTTTCTAAATCTAACATGTTTATTTTTTTTACTCAAATGGTAAAAATGTCTCAAGCTCTGGCGGACCATTTAAAGCCAGACTGCCGGCCACGGGTTGGACAGCACTGACTTAGATTGTACTTTGATTTGTAGCACATATTTTTCATAATGGTTTAACACAGAATTATAATTTTGGTAAATCTGATGATTTGATAATGAGATTAACAAACTTATTTTTACAATTAATTCTATTATTCTAACCTGTACTTTAATTTCAGGTATATGCAAGATTGCTTTTACGTGACTATGAGTGCATCCCCAGAAAACTTAAACCTAAGGACTGTCGACATTGTGGTAAACATTACACAGCCAGCACATCATTGTATAGCCATCTAGTTAGCTTATCAGGTACTGTTTGCTGGTATATCCATATCATTTTGTAGTTTTCAATTTGCTTTTTTTTTTTCCCTTCAAATTTCAAGTATAATTGTATTAATTTTTTAATAAAATGGATCCTTCTCTACTAAAAAATATATTCTCCTATCTAATTTTAAGGTATTGACCAATCAAATCAATAACCTTTAAAATACTATACAAAGGTGATGACAGGGATATATCTAAAACAAAAATTACCCATTACACCAAATGGTGGGAGGGACTAAGCTTAATAATCTTAACAATGACTTTTGACCTAGGCATTAAGGCAATATAAATATTCTTGAGATTCTGTCCAGCAGGAAAGTATTTAGAAAGCATTTAAACAAATTACATATACCTGTATTATGTATCACTCTTTAGGGAACAATAATATACCATGGGTTAACTTAATATTTTAAAAATAACATTAAGAACCCTTTTAAACAAAATAATAAGTTTTTGAATGTCAAGATGCCCACTATACTTTAGTTTACTTTTAAATCATTAAAAAATGTACTTCTTTTGCATAGGTATTCGTTTCTGGGTGTGTAGTAAGTGTAAAGAATCAAACATGGAAGAGGCCACATTCACTAGGAAGCATTCTTTACAATATCATATCCTTAAAGAAGTTGGTATACCTCGATATAGATGCACGCAACCTGGATGCAGCAAAACACACAATCACACTCATCATCAAAAGGTACAATTTACACATTTTCAGCCTATCAATATCTTTTGCTTAATTACATAAAAACCATAATTACTTATGCATTTTTTAAAATATAAATATTTTTCTGAATTTTAATAATAAACAGAGCCACGCTAGGCAACACACAGGGGAAAAACATTACATATGTGTGATTGAGACATGTAAAGGTAGATTTTCAAATCGCAACACTTACAGCCGCCATCTGCTGCAATTTCATAATGTTGAACTTACCAGGTGAGTTTGACTACTATTTTGAAACAAACATTATAAATTAATTAAATATATGCTACCCAGTAATTAAATCTTTTTTTATAGAGTAATTTGAGATGATACATTTGACTTTTAATTCATCAATTTTCAGGAGTAATCAACTTAGAGAAATTGATGAAAAAGAAGCAAAGTTAAAAGTGTTTGCTGCAAGACTTAAGGCAAGAGAAAGAAGCAAGGTGATTTATATTTTAATATTAAATGTTAAGTGGACAAATTATCAAGATAGTAGGGCCAAGACTAAGCTTATTAACCATAATTACTATGTGTTTCTGACTGTAGGATTTATTATTGGAGAAAACTATTGAATAATAATAGCTTTGAGTGTAACTCAAGTTTTCAAAATAAACATGTACAATTTAGTGTAAAGGGGATATTCCAGCTGGAGGAGAACTTAAGTCAAATTTTTCATCTGTACGTTTAGATATTTGTTAGCCAAGACTGCTATATGACCTAAATACCCAATATTACTATATTCATTGTTTCTTTTAAAAAAATTTGTTTTTTTAAAAAACATTCTGCATATATTCATTCATGCGCAAACCTTGCATTCTACTTTTACCCATTTTTTAAATAATAAATGTTTTTTATTTATATTTTTAATTGGATTTTTTTTTAAATTTAATAATTATTTTCTTTCAGTGCAAGCGCCAAAAACGAAGTAATGCCAAAAGGGCTCCTGACCTGCCCACACCAATTAAAAGTGAAGGACTTCAGAGGAAAATAACTATTGATGAAAACATATTGACAGCAGCTCAACATTTTTTGAAAGAAGTTAAGCTAGAAGAAGATATAAAGAAAGAATGCCAAGAAACAAATAATGAGCTCAGTCTTGAGAAATTTATGAAGCCATCTGCATCAAAACTTTTGTATGGAATAGCAAGAGATGTAAGAAATACCACTACCTCAATGGAAGAAGCTAAATCTGAGAGTATGATGGGAGGCTTAAATCTTTTGGCAACGGTTTCTAAATACATGAATGCAGAATCATGTACAAAAGGATCTGATTTATCTGATAGCAAATCAATAGAGCATCACAACAGTCAAATTATGAAATCTAAAACATGTGAGATAAAACATTCATTTGACAAAGGGTCTGATAGTAACCAAGTTAAAGTTCAAGCAATTAATGAGAAATCTAACAATGAGCCCTTAAATTCTTACGAAAGCTCAACTGTTAGCAGCGAACTATTCACCACTGTTTGTTTTGACAATGAAATAGATTCTCATACCGACATTAAAGAAGCCACAAGCAGCAAACCTACTCATATTGTCAGTGTTGCTGATACCCATACAGTGTTTACTCAACAAGTCTTTGAAGAAAAGCTTCAAAATAACTTTCATGAAAATGTTAAGATTCAAGAGTCGAGCTCATCGTCAAATATGAAATATTTAACTATTGCAAATGTTAAAATTCTTCCTACTCCAGCATTGTCTGTAAATAAGAGTATCACTCAAACACCAAAGTTAATGCGTGTTATACAGCCACCATTTAGTCAAAGCAGAGGTAAAATTCCAAATTCTGTGTCAGAAACTTCATCAAAGATTGATATTAAAACCACCCCACATCAATACTTAATACCACTTGCCAATAATAATATTTTGGATTCAGCAAAAAATGTTAATTCACCTATTTTTATACCATGCTCAAGTATACCTTTCAGTTGTCTAAAGCTTGAAAATTTATCTGAAGTAAAATCCGAGTCTCCATCTTTCACTTTTTCAAACCAGAAAACCATAGAAAACAATAAAATTGTTGGTCAATCATTGCTGCAAAATGCCCAAGTAACTAAAGCAGAATCAAGCAAATTACTAACTCTAAATCCCAATTTTGAAAATACTCGCCCATTAACAGGATCTTTCTTGTCAAATGCAAATGCATTAAACAAATGTGAAATCCCTTTACCAGGAAGAATTGTTACAGAGCCAAACATGAGCACCTCCATAAATACAAACCATATTCAAGTTATTAAGGTCACAAATTCACCAGCACCTTTGCAGTTTCGGAGCATGACAACTATGTCTGGAAAGACTTATATTGTACTATCATCTTCAGGTAATCAAAGTAAACCCATTAAGTCAGTTAATTCAGTCTCTTCAGTAGGTGATAATGAAACAATCCCTTCTACAAGAATCTTGCCTTTCTCTGAACTTTAAACACAAATTGTTACCTGCATTGCATTTAGACTTCTCAAATATACACATATTAAAATACTGTGTAATCATACCTTAAGTGATTATAACTAATTTTGAGGATTTGTACCAGTCTTAAAGAATCCAAGTTGTGCCTTAATAATTCTATCTTATAAGATCTTACGTGAAACTGCTGGCAGTATTTAAGTTTTATATTTTTTGAAGAACACCTATACAGAACTTATGCCTATGTAATTTTATGAACCCAGTGAGATATTGAAAATAATAGATGTTTATTTTTGGTATTGATATTTTCTTTTCATTTATTGATAGTTTGCAACAACTGATCTTAGTTAACAATACCATTTTACCTTTTGTCTCCATCTAATAATTTTTTGCATTTTCAAATAACAATATTAACATGGACTATTTTGGCAATAGGACATTAATGTTACCTATGATTATTATTAAAAATTTAACAAGTTTTTCAATAATTTTAGAAACTTGTTCTTTTGCTTCATGTCACTACATCATGTTATATAAGTTATATAAACATTTTAGTCATAATAACTTTTTGTAGATATGCTTCTCTTGCCATTATTGTTTAATAGAGGATAAATCAACTATGTATTTGTAATTATGTCTATAGCCAATTTTATAAATCTCAAATTAAGTTTACTACATTCATTTTGATCCCAATAAATGTTGTACTATGAATTTTTAAGCATATGTTTCGACATAAAAATTTTACTTACTCTTTTATTTTCCAGTTTTAATTTTATGTTTGTTTAAATTCTAGACTAATGCCAAATAAGGCCTGTCACAATTTATTTATGCTGATTAATAAGAAAAGATATACTATACTTATGTTACAAAGCAAAAGAATTTATAACTATTTCTTTTTATTTGAGAATCACTTCTTTTCAATTTTAAATCTAACTTTGGCAGCATTTGATTATTGAATGTACCAAAAATAATAGTAAGACAGCTTGTTGCTTTTAGAGAGGTTTCTTAAAATATGAATGGAAATGGCTTTCAAAATCTCATAATTCTAGACCTTCTAAATTCTCAATGTATAAGAAATCTTCCACAATCAATATTAAAATTAATGAGATATTGTAGAAACCAATAATGATGATAGATAATTTTTCTATGTATTAATTTCTAGACAGCAGGATGACTATTTTTAAATTAAATTATTTTGCGGTGAATACAGAATCCTTAATGAAAGATAGATTTTTACAAAATTTATTTTACAAAACGAACTAAAATTACTTTAAAAAATTATTCATTAAATATTATTTTTAGCTGTATTAAAATCAAAGTTTGGTATGAATTTTTAAAATTGTTTGAATAAAAATAAAGATACTTCATTTCCTGATGTAAGCAAGTATTACCGTATTTATCGGCATATAACACCACTTTTTCTCCCTGAAAATAGGGGGCAAATGATGTGTGCGTGTTATATGCCGATATAATGTTAAGGACCCATAGTAAATACTGCATAGCGGCGCAAATGATGCGTGTTATACGCCTGTGCGTGTTATACGCCTGTGCGTGTTATACACCGATAAATATGGTATTTAGTTTGAGATGCTTTTTAAAAAAAATCTTACCTTTGAAATACGGTAATAGAATTATCATTGAATTAAGCTATAAACGTAACTAATTTTTCCATTACTCAGTCTTGTCTTTTTTTCTTCATATTATTATTTATTTATGGGGTCCCACCTCTGGTTTTACTGAATCCGTCCGCAACCATCTCTCTAACCACCCACCCAGTACAGAATTGCACTATTGTCCATGTACATGGCTTGTTGCATGTTGAAAGCCTAAATAAAAATCAGGATTCACCTACCTGTGGACAAAATATTTTGAAATTTTTTGGCCTTATTTTTTAGTAAAGGTTTGAATTAAATATTAGAATTTTAAAATATGACAGATGGTTTTTAATGTCTTAAATAAGAGCTCTTTGTACTACAGAAATGAGTTTGTCTTTAATTTGAGATATTTTGATACCTTATCAACAATTTGAGCACATGGTGAACTACAAAACTTTAGATTTGATCTATGAATTAGATACAGTTTAATCTCTGTAAGTTATTTCTTTTTGCTCATTTTTGATAGTTCGAATCATAGTTCTGCTCTGGTACTGTGTTTTTAAGTACATGTAGTTACATTTAAACCACTTCTGTTTCTGTATATGCTTTTATGTTCAGTGAAATGTCTTTATTATTTTTACACCATTTTTTGTCTGTTATATGTATTGTTTAGAATGAGGAATTTTAAATTTCTAGGTGTCTTGATGACACAGTTACAAAATATTTATAACTATTCATTTTTTTTTAAAGAAAAAATTGGGTACTTAATTCAAGCTTATCTATTTTCATTAAGATGCTTTTAATAAATTAAAATATAGAAATTTTATTTACTTTCTTCACAAGTTGTAAAATAATTATTTAAGTTATTAAATTTTTACTGCCACAAAAAAGATCATTAAAATTTTAATTTAAGAGACAAAATTTAGCTATACTACAATGCACTTGTAACACTATGCCATTTTTGGGAAAAGCCAAACTATGTACAGTAAAAAGTTGTTTTCCAAAAGCCTTACTGTATATAAGATTTATGCTTAAATGTATGTGTATATAATATATAGTTTGTCTTTCACTTACAGCCTTCCAGTTCCAGTTATTAACATAACCCTGTTTTGTCCCCTTTTTGTGTAATCTATCCTGGGTTTTTTCCTTTTTAATAATTTCAGTTTAATACCATTTTTAAAACACTGTACTTGCATAGCTATTGACTTTAATAAAGGCTGAGGGATGCCCAACTAGCTAGTTGAAAAAAATTAATCTTAAAATAAAATGTATAAGAATTAAATACCTTGAAAAAATTAATTTGAGTTGAAATCCATAGAGGTTATTTTTTATGTGGATGGCACTCGTTAATCTTGGATGGCAACTCATCTAAGAGAAGGAAACTCTGAATTCAAAACCAGGAGATGGAGTCCTGTAGGCGGATAACATTGGCACAATGAAATATTCCGACAACTCCTGCGACACCACTGGTGCAAAGCTGAATCATCCATATGATGTTCCCTGGGTTACCCAGCAGCGTGGAGAGAGGCGATTTGCTGTGTAGGGAACCAGCTTATAATCCTTAAGATTAATCCCAGGATTTGTAGATTTCGTCCTGCGAAATCTACACCATCGTCACGTTGTGACAGACGGATGCCAGCAAAAATATATATATATATTTTTTAATGTGGCATAATCTTTCACTAAACCATATTAAATCTTGTTTTAATGCACAATTTATATTAAAATTTTGTAGGTCAATTTGGAGCCACCACATCCGTTCATATCCAAGCAATAATCCTATGCAATATGTTGCATTTTTTTCCTCTGTGAAATAATATAATACAGGAAATCAAACACTATCAAAGAAAGAAAAAAATTCCAGTTAATGCTGTTTACTTAGCTTTCTCACTCCCCCCCCTCTCTCTCTCTCAACTCTGTCTCTCTCTCTCTCTCTCTCTCTCTCTCTCTGCCCTCTCTCTTTTTCTTAAACTCTTGTAATAAAATTTCAAAGTTTTGAAGAAGTTGCATGATAGATTTTTATATACCCCCATAACTAATAAATTGAATTATAAATTGAATGAAAATAGAATATTAGATCATGTTCAATACATAAAACATTTTACACCATGTAGGTCTTAACATGTTCAGAATTCTTTATGAAAGACAACATTTATTTTCTTTAGTGTTTATGTTTTGTGGTGAACAAAACTGCAGAGAACTGCAATTGTTGAGTAATTTTGCTAAGATTTTTATACTTCTATCTCTCCTAATTCACTAATGTTTTCATTCAGTATTGCAACTAATGATAAAATTGTTTGAAGCCTATTTCTTAGTCAAAATCACTTGTCTTTAATGGGTTATGTTAATCAAAACTGATAGAAGTCAGTCTGTCAGATTAACTTTATTTATGTGTTTATTGTTTTGTTGTTGTTTTTTTTGGTGGTCTTAAACTTAAACAAGCTAATAAAGAAAGATTTTAATAGACCAGGAACGGTCAGTCTTGATGTGATACTAAATGAAAAAATAACCAGTTTTCCAGAATGCCGTTAGCAAGTACTATTAAGAGATAATATGAATCATTTATAAAATGAAACAGGGAGTTAACAGTAATGTTGCCTCATTGTTTTTGTTTCGTAAGTGGCATTTGATCTTCAGGATTAAAAATTAAAATTATTTTTGAATTATTTTTTTAGGGGCAATTCATGCAAGTCATTTTCATGCTCATTTCAATGGCATCTATTTGTTAATTTCTTCACATTCACTTTATTCAAGTATTTGAGTAGGTTTATTCTAATTTTTCCAGAAGAAAGAAAATTCAAAATTAATGCAATTAAGAATAATTAAGTCGTTTTTTCTAAAAAATTGTTTGAACATCGAGTTACAAGTTCAAGTATGTTCACAGAAAAAGAAACATGTTTATCAAGAACTATTCTTTTATGATTGTGTACAGATAACAAATAAAGAAATTTAAAATATACATTTTACATAAAGTGTTCACTTTACTTACACATTTTATCTTTTTTGTCTCAAATTTGCTCTACTTGGTGGGTTTGTTGTCTTTCTTTCTTTTTAAATGTTCATTTCAACTAACATCATTTTTAATCAAATTCTCCTTTAATTGAAATTGGGCATTCAGCTTTATCTCTTTATTGACTTGAGGATTTTTATCTTCCAAGTTTGGCAGACCTTAGGTTTACCAATTACAAAAAATGTTTTTTTTAAATATTTTCTTAATTTCTTTGTAGAAATCGAACATAGAAAATGTTTAATCCGGGGAAGAAACTTGTTATATTACATCCCATTTCAAATATTCTAATTACTTTGACCCATTAGTTCATCTAAAACCTCTTTCTCA